CTGGCGGCATTCGTGGCCGCTCAGCTTGGGTGATGGGAGAAACAGCTGCTGGGGACACCCTGACCGGCGTCTGGCCAGGAAGTCTCGCTCACTGTGAGCCAGCAGGACAAGGAGGGGTGAGCAGTGGACAAGAAAGGGAAGGGGCTGTGGGAGGCCCTGAGGGAGGTAGGGACCCAGTGCCCAGAAACTAGCCAGGCTGAACCAAAGAGAAGCCTGGGTAAGAACAGGAAGTGGCCCTGTCTTATCAAAACCACTTCCAAATCACTGCGGACAACTGCGACAATCAGTGACTCTGCAGCCCAAAGGCCTGGAGTTCAAGTCCACCTCTGCCACTTGCCTGCTGCATCATGTACCTCTCTGGGTCTCAGTTTTCTCATCTCTAAAATGGGGGTGATAATGGTATCTACCTCATAGGTTGTCATGAAGATCAAACAAGGTAAAGTACTCACAACCCTGGCCAGCACATAGGGCTCTCCTCCAACACGGCCACCCTCAAGCTGTCCACCCTCTTCTGCTCGGACTGTTACAGCAGCCTCCCCACTGGTCTCCCTGCCACCACGTCCCCCTTCCCCCCGCCTTGAGCTGTTCCCCGCCTGGCAGCCTAAGCAATCTTTATAAAAGGGAAAGCAGATGTGCTCAAAGCCCTCCAATCACTCCCACTACACACATGACGAAATCCATGCTCCTTACCTCAGCCTGTCAACCCCTGCGGTATCCCCTCCTCCTGGATCTCACTGCCAACTCTGCCACCCTGGCCTCCTTGATGGGACCTGAAAACCCCAAGCTTATTTGGACCTCGGGGCCTTTGCACTTTCCATACCCACTACCTGTTCTATTCTTCCCACCTCCTTCCCAGGCCTGGCCCACTTTCATCAATCAGATATCTCCTTCACCAGAAAGCCTTTGCTGACTCCCCAGGCTGGGTCAGGTGCCTCCTCCGGATTCCTACAGTCCCTGTGCCTCCCCCATCCTGGCCTTGACCACTCTGGGCTGTCACTGTCTGGGGACAAGACCGTCTCCTTGCATGGTTCTGTAGCCCAAGAGGCAGGGCTAAGACTGTGCTGGTCACCACTGGGAACGATGGTCAGACACACACGAATGCAGGAAAGCTTTGCCCATCCCTTTCCGAGCTGCACCTTCTTCCTCTTTGCCTTCTTCCTGAGGTGGTTCAAGTCAGTACCATTTCCCTTCCCAAATGCCAGCCGTGGGAGATGACCCCCAAGGAGAGTTGGGTCAAAGTTGCGACCACTGTCCAGAATGCCCTAGAGGGCAAAGGTCAAAGCCTGCCTCCTCCTCTGGGCATGGGGCTCAGCAGGTGTCAGGCCCCAGCGAAGCCCATTACGTGAACCATCTCCCCGATGGTTCCCAACCAGCCGGTGTGGTGGGGGGCAGTCAAACCTACCATCTCATGGCTGAGGACGTGGTTTCAGCAAAGGCTACAAGCCTGCCCAAAGCAGGACGTGAGGCTGAGGGAACCCTCAAGCACTGTTGGGAAGCATGTTGACACAAATGCCCTGGGGAACAATCTGGAAGGTCCAGCATTGCCACTGTGAGCCAATATGCCCAAGAGAGACTCTGGCCAAGGAAACACATTCTAGAACGCTCACTGCAGCACTGTTTGTTACAGTCCCAATGGGAACCATCTAAATGGCCACCAAAAGGTGAACAGGTAACTCCTGTGTGGCACAATCAGACGAAATGCAAGAAAGGAAAATGAATGACTGGCCCTAGACCTGCACGTGTCCACACAGAGACATGGCCAAACTAACACTGAGCAGAAAAAGCCAGTAGTTTACTGTGGTACCATTCAGACGATCCATAAGACTGTAAAATGGTGGGCAACCGTGGGGGCCACTGGAACCCTGTGCGGTGCTGGCCCCACCCTGGACCGAGGGAGTCCGAGCCGCAATCTCCAGGGTGGGCCTGGGCAGCAGTGGTTTTGAAATCTCCCGGTGGCCGCTATATGTGGCCGGGTTGAGAACTATTGCTCTCTTGTTTGTGAATCCACCCGAGGGTGGTAACAGAAGGGAAACCTGCAGAGGGAGGCTGGCCACCAAATCCAGCCGGGTGGCCAGTATCGGCAGGGCAGTCGGGCGGGAAGAGAAGTGGGGCCTCTGACTGTACCCACTACGTGCTCCGGCCCAGGCTGGATGCTGGAGGCATGGGTGTTTTGCTATATTGAAAACTCTACTTTTCTCACTAGTCTACAATGTATCGCAAGGAACAAAATGGGCAAATAAGAAATCGCTTGCCCAAGGTCCCACGGGTGGTAAGTGATGGGGCAGTAACCTGAATGTGGGTGTCTGGTGCCAAAGCCCTATCAGTCCCCCTTATCTGTGCAAGCCCCGAGATGCTCAGTGAACTGGCACTGCCAGGGCCCGAGGCTGGCTGGCCTCACAGGGCTCCCTGGCCGCCTGCCCACCCAATGACCCTGCCAGAGCTGGTGGGGGAGGGTTGGTTGTCGCTGCCAGCCAGGAGGCAGGTGCAGAGTGACCCCGCCACCATCTCTGAGGCCCTCCTCAGAGAGCAGCAGCAGTAGCACCCGCAGCGAGACTAGTGCTTACCCAGCGCCTACTGTGTGCCAGGCCATGGGCCAAGCACTTTACGCTCTGCATCCTCACAGCAGTTCTATGAGGCAGCCACTATCATTCCCATTTTGCAGAAGAGAAAACGGAGGCCCAGAAAAGTCAAACAACTTGCCCACGGTCATACAGCCTATGAGCGACAGAGCTGGCTGTGAGCCAGGCTTCCATGCTCTGGCATTTGCTCTCCACTCCCCAGGACTGTCTTGGAGCTCCACTCACCCGGGGTAGCTCCTCATCTGCCCCTGCTCCACTGCCCCCTCCACTCCCGCCCAGGTCAGGGACCCTTGGGGTCTCACACAGGCTACATGTTGCTGACAAGCCCCCAACTCTGCATCCGTCCCGACCTCCACTTACGCCTCACTTTCCCCAACTCTGCATCCGTCCCGACCTCCACTTACGCCTCACTTTCTGCCTGGTGTACCCTTTCCCATCCCTCCTACTCATCCTTCAGAGCCTGCCCAGGGGACTTTCCCAGGGACACAGTCCCTGGCCCAGGTTGGTACCCAGACTCCGGGCACCCTCCTGGTTCCCTCAGCTTATCCTCTCAAGCTCCATCACCGCTGGCAGAGATGTAGCTGTGTATCACTGGCCAGATATCTGGCTCCAGTCCACTCCCACCAAGGGAAACTGAGAGCCCCCAGGGGCCAGGGCCCCTGTGGATCTTGTCCACTGCTGAACACCCAGCACCGTGCCCAGTATTCGACCACCACCAACCAAGCATCCTCTGCAGACCAGCCAGTGCTTCAGGTAGGGATTCATGGAAAGAACAACATGGACAAATTCCTGCCGGTAAGGGTCCCACATTCTAGTGAGGGAGGAAGACAACAAACTGTTCTTGAGAAATAAGGTAAGGATGAGTTAAGGGCTGGGAGAAAACAGTAGTGTGATAAAAGAGCGTCTGGGGGCAGGGAGTACTCCAGTGGTCCTGGTCAGGCTGTGAATGAGTGACGCGTGAGTGAGGACTCAGAGTGGGGAAAGGACCCAAGACAGAGGGAACGAAAAGGTCAAAGACCTGGAGGGAGGCATAAGCCTACAGACCTGAAGAACAGCAAACAGGTCAGTGGGGTGGGACAGTGGGGAGGGATGGGGAGAGCGGTAGGAAGTGAATGAGATGGGAGTGACTGAGGACCATGCTGAGAGCTTGGGGTTTTAAGCACAGAGAACACCCAGCTTTGTACAGGGTACCACCCCAAGGACACCCACCCTAGCCAGAAGCCCATCAGACTCCTTGGACTCTGGGCCACCCACAAACAGACCATCCCGTAGGCCCAGGGGAACTTCTCCTCCCAGATCACACCCTTCGATGGAGGCCAAACATACAATCTGTTCCTGCCCAGGGAGTGGCCCAGCCTTGCCCAGCCCCCTGCTTCCAGGAACAGACCTTTGGCAATCTACAACAGGGCAACAAGAGGCAGGAGCTCTGGAATCATTCAGATCCAGCTTGGAATCTGTCTCCGTCATTTAGCAGAAGCTCTTTGAGCCTCACGTTTTCGGTCTGTAAAGTGGGTCTATTCAGTACCCACTTCACAAGACTGTGATATAGTAAGACCAGGTGCACAGGGCGCTGAGCATAGTGTTGGCTGTCATTAAGGATTGACCAACATTACGAGTATATGAGAGGCCACAGGGCCTGGAACTCTGGGCCCAGGACACCAGAGTTCAAATCCTGCACAACATACTCATTAGGTGGCCCCAGGCAAATCACTTAGCCTCTTAATAATGGCACCAAGCCAATAAGGTTGTGGTCAGGATTAAATGTAGGTAAAGCCCTGTCCTAAACAGGGCCTGACACAGAGTAAGTGCTTTATGAGCGTTTGCTGTTATCTTCATTATCTGTGGGAGGGGAGCTTCCCTCCTACCCCCAGGAAGCACCTTTGACTTTTTTCTTGAATGTCCTACTCCTCCTCTCCAGCAATATGTCCCACTTGGGTTTAACCTTTGACCCTTGGGAACATCATTTGTCAGGCCATGAGATTCTGATCTTTGCCCTCTTTGGTCACGCCCCACCTTTGATCCTATAAAGATGCCCCCCAACCTAAACCTCATTCATTTGCTCCACTGCCTTAAAGCTCCAACCCGCCGCCACCATGGTTGTGACCTCTGACCCTCATAGGCGCACCCTCTCCTCAAATTAACTTTGACCTCCCTTTTTGGACACTCGCCTCGACCCCCTCCAACTCGCCCCCACTTCAAATTTCGCATTTTGCGCTCTCCTTCGCCACGCCCCCTCCGTTAGTTTGACCTCTGACCTCCTCTACATCTTCCTCCTGCTCAGAGTTGACCCGCGATCCCTCGGACACGGCTCTTCCACGAGCGAACTTCGACCCCAGCGGCCCCGCCCCCTACTCGTATAAACGCTCTCCCACAGCCATCGCCCGGCCCACCCCAATCCCCTAGCCAGACCGCTTATCCTACCGGCTCGGCAGAGCACTTGCTCGAGGCCTAGCTGCTCGGCCCGGAACTCGGCGCCCTCATGCCGCCCTCAGCTCTCTTGCGCCGCCGCCACCGCGGCCACCGCCGCCGCCATGTTGAATCCCCAACGAACATCCGGGGCTTTCCCCCACTCACCGCCCACCAGTCCCCATAGCAACGGGGCTGACCGGGCAGGAGGCAGGGCCGACTCAGGGGCGGAGCTGGGCGCCTGGCAGCGCCGGCTCCAGCCTCTTATTGGTACAGATTGTCCAATCGGAGACCTTTGGGCTGAAAATGCCAAGCCGGGATTGGAAAATTTGGAAAGGGTGCGGGAACGGTGGCTCCCAGCCCACCCGGGTTCTTAAAGGGGAAATGTTTGAGCTCCTCTAACAGTCGTTCCTGCTTTCCCCCTGAAGGAGTTAGGGGATGGAAAGCATTACAGTACTGGGTAACAATGGCCAGAAACAGTTCTTAAGCACTTACTGTGTGCCAGATACCTGGCCAAGTGCTTTACTTGCATAGTCTCGCTGAATACTCACTACAACATACTGTATTATTAATACCCATTTTACAGATAAAACGACAAGTTAGAGGGGAAAACTAACTGGTTCGGGATGACAGGAAGTAAATAATGAGTTTTGTACGACATCTGTCGGTCTGAGTCCGGGAACTTGACCCGGAAACAAGACATTATTTGATCTTAGTCTTTTCTATAAGTTTTTTTCTTTTTTAGTAATTTATTTCTTAAATTTTTTTTTTTTTTGGAAAAATACAACAACAAGAACAAAAGCCCATGAACTGAATTAACTGAACTCGGACATCGTTTTCTATGACTTCACTAACTGGGCTCCAGCCACTTTGCTCTTCCAAAAAAGTAACAGGTGCTCTCCCAGTTCAAGGTCACTGCATTGACCTTTCCTTTTGTCTGGAATAGACTTCACCCAAGTATCCTCCTGTCTCCCTCCCTCCTCTCCTTCAGAGTTTACTCAAATGTCACCTTATCAGTGGGACTGTTCCTGCCCACTCTGACTAAAGCAGTAAACATTCCTTTCACCTGCTACTCAACCCCTTACCTTGTCTGCTTTTTCTTAGTTTCTGGTGCTCAAATCACCTTCTAGATACTAGATAATTAGCTAATCATAGGTATTGTTTTTTGGTTGTCTCCCCTGCTGGAATGTCAGCCCTAGGAGAGGACGGATTAAAACAGACGGATTATCTGTTTTGTTCACTGTTCATGCCCATTTGTTGAATGAATGAGTCATAAATCCGCCTCATCAGAAGTGCTCTTAAATATTTAGTGCATCTCCCCGTCCCAGCACAATGTCTAGCATATAATAGGCATTTAATTAATGTCTGCAGAAGCAATGAATGAATGATTCCATAGTCTTTTTTTCTCTGTACATTTACCTACTTAAAAAAAAACAATTAGAAACACATTTATAAAGAATTTTGTATCTTTTAAAAACAAGAATATGAATATCACTAGTATCTTTCTATGTCTAAGTATTCTTCAAAAACATTCATTTTAATGGCTGCATAAGATGCCGTTCATTCAATGAACTCTAATTTGTTCGAACTACTCTTTCTTGTTGAATATCTCCGCTGTGGTAAATATTTTGCTATGATAAATAATCCCCCCTCCCACATTCCAAGCAGCTAAATATTCGTGCACATCTCTCATTATTGCCTTTGAATAGATGACTACAAATGGAACTGCTGGGTCAAAGGAAATGTACATCTTTAAGATTTAATAATAGTAACAGTTCCCATGCTTCAAACATTTCTGTGCACCATGCATGGTGCTTAGCTGTGTAATTTAAACAGCAGGGGCTATGATTATCCCTACTTTGCAGAGGAGGAAACTGAGGCTTGGAGAAGTAACTTCATTTGCTCAAAGTCACACTCTGGGCTCATCGAGTTTTGACTCCCAGGCAGGGCTCTCACTAACTGCCCTCTGCTGCCTCCTTACGGCCTGAGACATACATTGCCGTTTTGTGTTTCAGGGATCCAATTCACACTCCCGCCAGGGTTCAAAGGGGAAGATGCCCTTTAAAGTATCCTTGCCAGCATTAAACCTTGTTTCTGTGCTCTTTTGAAATTTTTATACCTTTCCGAGCATCCAGTTTTTAAAAACTAAGTCTAGTAGTTGAGATGATATAGCACATTATTCAGGTCACAGGGACAGGAGGTTGGCCAGGTGCTGCCTTTGCTTCTTTAATGCAATTTACGCAGGGCCTCAGGCTCTAGCACCCATGTTGGGGACACCCCCTTTAACTTACTTGGGGATCACAGACAGAGATCAGAGCCCTGGAAGAAGCCCACTGCCAGACCTGCTCCAGAGGCTTCCTTAGAATAGGCAATTAGGCCCTCCTACTTCAGGGCCCAGGGAGAGGAAATCAGGCCTCAAAGAGCCCTCTTCAAAGAGTGCTTCCTGAAGGAGGTGGTGAGGAGGTGACCCCCAATGAATGGAAACAGGTGAGGAGAGTAAGGAGGATTTGGCCTCATAGAAACAATACATTTCAGTACATCAAGGAAAAAGATCAGTGGCAATATAATAGGTGGCAAGCAAAGCTTTCTGTCCTTCATATGTAAAGAGCACTTACAAATCAATAAGAAAGGTGAACACAACAGAAAAATAGGCAAAGAACATGAACAAAAATTTAAAATACAATGAATAAGAAAAAATGGAATCAGTGAACAAGAAATTAATGAAATTGACATCAAAGTATTAAAAATATGTTTTATTCTCTCAAAAATATTTATTCAATACTATCATCAGTGCTGATGAGAATGGAAGGTAACAGTCACTCTCATACCCAATTTGTAGGACTGTGATCTGGGGCAGACTTTTGGCAATATTCATCAAGAGATTTAACAATGTGTTTTACCTTTTGATACAGTTTTGCTTCTGAGGATTTTCAAAGGAAAAGAAAGACATAGACAGAGGTATCTAGGTGAATATATTCATTATTAGTGTTATTTTAGAAAGAATTTTTTTACCACAATTGTTTTAAAATTGTTGATGAATGATACTGCGCTGAACAATTCCCCTCTTTTGTGCATTTAGGTTGCTTTCCATTTTTGTCACTGCTCCCTATGCCAGATGCTCTGTATACATTTCAGCTCCCTGACCTTCTCTAATCCTCACCACTTATATCTAAGATGGGATCCTGAGCCCCATTTAACAGATGAGGAAACTGAGGCATGGGAATCAGGTGGGAAATGGAATGAAGTCCCACCACTTGTAAGCAGCTTTGCTGGAATTTTAACGAGGAAGTCTGACTTCAAAGCTGATGCTCTTAAAAATTGCTCAAATTTATTCAGTAAGTATATTCATTGACTGCTACCTGTATGCCAAACATGTCGAATAATATATGTGCAAACATTTATTATATGGCAGGTCCTAGGCTAAGCACTTTACAAACATTACCTCATTTATTGCTTCTCAGCCTTTTGGCTAAGATCAAGTGTACAAACATTTCCTCATTTAATCCCCACAACAGCCCTGTGCACTATTGTTATTCCCATCCTGCAAATGTGCACACTGAAGCACAGAGACGTCAAGTAACTTTTCCAAAGTCACAAAGGCAGCCTGGCCTCAGGTCTAGGTTCCTAACCGTTTCTTCTCTTTTTCAGAGAACAAATGCTTGAAAGATAGATAATAATAAACATGTGAACAAATAAATAATATAACATAAAAATGAGATGATGAGCAGAGCTCAAAACATGTCATGGAATACATTCATGTAGTCATAAAAAGATTCTAGAAGACACAGGACCCAATGATTGCACTCCTAGGTATTTACTCAAGAGAAATGAAAACACATATTCACACAATGACTTGGATGGGAATGTTCATAGCAGTTATCATGATTGCCAAACACTAGAAACAACCCAAAATGTCTATCAACTTGTGAGAAGACAAATATATTGCAATGCATCAATCCCGTCCATGGAATACAACTCAGCAATGAAAAGGAAGAAATTTTTGGGAAGCAGGACAACATGGGTGAATTGCAAATATATTAGGCTAGGTGAAAGACAATGCTACAGTTCTTCCTCAGTATCTGAAGGGGATTGGTTCCAGGACATCTGGGGATACCCAAATCTGTGGATGCTCAAGTCCTTTATATAAAATGGCTTCATGTTTGCAGATAACCTACACACATCCTCCTGTATACTTTAAATCACCTCTAGATTACTTATAAGACCTCACACAATGTCAGCGCTATGTAAATACCTGCCAACATGCAGCAAATTTAAGGTTTGCTTTTTGGAGCTTTGTGGAAAATTTTTTTTTTCCTGGCTATTTTCCATCGGGGGTTGGTTGAATCGGAGAAGGCAGAACTGTAGCCGACTGTATATGGTTCCATTCAGAGCATTCTGGGAAAAGTCAATCTAATCTATAGTGATGGAGAGCAGATTCGTTGTTGCCTGAAGCTGGGAGACAGAAGAAAAGATTAACCGCAGAGGGATGGGAGGGGACCCTCCGGGGTGATGCAAATGTTCTGCATCTTGATTATGGTGGTGGTTTCATGGGAATACACATCTGTCAAAACTCAACAAATTGTACACCTTAAAAGGGTGCAGTTAATTGTATTAAATTATATCTCAATGAAGTTATATTTTAAAGTTCCTTTAAATGCTGTAGAATAAAGTATGGACTTTAGTTAATAATAGTGTATCAAAAAAATAATAGTGTATCAGTATGGGTCCATTAGTTGTAATGAAGTTACCGTATTAAGGTAAGATTTTAATAACAGGGGAAACTGGGTGTGGGGCTTATGAGAACTCTGTACTCTCTTTGCAATTCTTCTGTAAATTTAAAACTGTTCCAAAAAATAGTTTGTTAAAAAAAAAGCAAACAGAGCTGATATTATGCCCATGTTAATTTATGTGGGAAGGAAAAACAGGTTACAAACCCACCTATATCATATGACAGTATTTTCATTTTTCAAAAATGAGGTTATAAGGAAAAATATTAAAATGTTAAAAGCTAGAAGCTCTTTGGAATGGGACAACCAGGGAATTTTCAGTTCCACTTTAGTCTTTTTGGTATGGTTTGAATTTGTTTTATTTTTTTCTGACAATGAATATGTTACTTTCTCCCCTGAAGCAAAAGAAAGATTATCTTTTAATTTGCTGTAAAGAAGCAGCAAAGATTTGGAGGGAGATCTTGGAGGCGAGGAAGAAACTATTGCCCTAGGAGTAGGGACCCCATATAAGAGAGGTCCCTGCATAACTCAGACAGCAACCTGTCCCTTCATGCATGTGTACAGGATCTGGAGAGAAATGTTTACCCTCTCCATGTCTTCTGTCCTCATCTTCCTCCACATTCTCCTTTGCTCATCCCTAGATAACCCTAGGTAATGAAAATTTGGCCAGTAAAATACAGGATGCCCAGTTAAAATGGAATTTCAGACAAATTTCAAACCATTTTCAGTATAAGTATGTCCCATGCAATTCGGGGACATACTTATACTAAAAATTTACTTGTTACTTGTCTGAAATTCCAATTAACTGGGCATCCTGTGTTTTATCTGTCAATCCTACTCACTCCACACTGGCCACCCCAGCCTCATGGCTGTTTCTCAAATCCACGGTTTCCTTCCTGCCTCAGGGCATTTGCACCCACTGGTCCCTCTGCCTGGATCATTCTTCCAGGTCATTTATTTTGACCCACTCCCTGTCCTTTGGCTCCAATGTCACTTCCTCAGAGAGGCCTCTCCTGGACACCACATCTAAAGCACCCTTTACCTTCCCACATTTTGATTCCACTGTATTTTCTTCACGGTGCTGGGCACCATCTAGAATTAGCCTGTGATGGTATTTTTGTCTTCATGTTTCCTTCTCTACCTTCCCCAGTAGAATTCAGGCTTCAGCGGCAGAAAGGCCATCTTGGCCGCCACAGTGTCTCCAGCACGTGGATCACAGTAAGTGTATAGTTCTTGCACAGTGCCTAGTTGCAATCAACAGAGACCATTTGGAGCAATGAAGGACTTTAGTCATGAAGCATTTGTTAATGAATGAATCCAGAGATCCCGCAGCTTTCCTTTCCTTGTCTCTCTCTGGCGCCCCCTGCTGGGCTTTCTGGGAGTACTCTACCTCCTCCCCTCCCCCCAGCCCCAGCTACCAGGCAGGCATCCGCGTAGCCTCCAAAAGCCTTGCTCAGCTTTGCCTCCTAGAAGCCTCAGGGTCTCCGGCTTGCAACCTGTCACTTCCTGTGCATGTCACAAATCACAGGTGTTGCAATTAGCTGTACGTGCCTGTCTCCTGCACACCCAGCCTTGGCAGCCCCAGGGGACCGGCCTTTATCTGATTCACCAAAATCACCGGCATTCCTGCTATTCACCTGCTCCCTCAGCATCAGGTGCTCTAGTAAGCATTTTACCTGTATTTCCCCTGCTTTCCGTCCTTCATCCAATTAAAAAAAAAACTATTAACTTATTAAATCACCATTCTCTCTTTTTTTTCACTGAAAGTACTGGGGACTGAACCCAGGACCTTGCTCATGCTAAGCACACACTCTACCACTGAGCTATCCCCTCCCCCCTCAATAGATTTTTAAAGTCAAAGCCGACACTGATATAACACTGTAAATCAACTCTAATAAATAAAATAATATAATAAAAATAAATTTAAAAAATAAATTAAATTATTAAAAAGCCGACAGCATTTACTACTCAATTAAATGCGGGACGTGAGAAAAAGAAGAATCAAAGACGACACCAAGGCTTTCAGCCTCATTTAACCCCAAGGACACCCCACAGGATATGATCATTTTTTTGTTACAGATGAAGAAACAGAAGTTCAGAGAGGGCTGGTGATTCCACAACCACCGGAAGTGGCAGAGCTGAGATTTGAACCCAGTTTCTATGAGGCTCCAGTGCCGGGCCTTTGCCCTCTGTGGCCCCCACCGCCCAGGCAGTTTCACAGCCTCAGCCAGCCCAGCAGAACCCCCCAGGCCCACACAGGCGCCAGCTTGGTCTTTGGCCACAGCATGCAGTGACTCCCCAGCTGGTGACTCGATGGGTTTGCAGCATCCCTCCATGGCATGGCCTCTTTGATTGTCACCCGTATTGGGTAACCGCGTGTCCCTGCCTGTCCATGAGCTCCCACAGGACCTGACTGGGCTGATTCATCGCTGTCCCTGGCTTGCCTGGTAGAAGCCTGACATGTGGCAACCTTCATTAAGGCAACAAATAGTTAATAAGCATCTGTCTCATGCCAGGCTGTGCTGGATTGAGTCCTGGCATCACTGCCTCACCAGCCTAGGGTTGACAGTCCAGTGGGGGAGGCAGGGCTGGAACCCACAGACAGTAACAGCCCAGAGTGGGCAGGGCTGGGATTGGGGGTGGGGCAGGACCCCAACCCAGCCAGAGAAGGGGTCTGGGGGGAATTGGTGGAGGTGAGAGACCCCTAAATGAACAAGATGGCCCAGGCCTCCACCCTTACAAACCCTCAACCCAGGGGCAGCAGATTGACAATAAACAAGGTAACAAATCAATCAATGAGAGAATCGCAGAAGGCTAAGAGCCAGTGACAAAGAGTTTCTTGTGCTCAAGAGGTTGCGAAGAGCTGGTGTGCCAGTGTGCCTTGAGCCGAGGTGAGGCTGGGTGGGAAT